GACCCTCCAAACCAGCCATTTGCTCCTGGGGAACTATTGTTGCCAATCTTGGCCCAGCAGCCATCAAACCATTCTCTTCAACCCCCTGCTGTGCAGCTGACTTTCCCCTAGGGTTGCCAATCTCCAGATGGGACCTGGAGATCTCCCGCTGTTACAACTGATCTCCAGATGACAGAGATCAGTTCCCCTGGAGAAAATGGCTGCTTTGGAGGGTAGACCCTATGACATTTCCCCCGCCCAATGCTGCCCTCTACAGAATCCACCCCCCAAATCTCCAGGAAGTATTTTACCTCCTTCCAGCCTATGCATTCGTTACAAATCACATCTTTCTAGATCTCGTTGTATTGCTTTCACAACGGGCTTTACTGCTAGTTATATATACACCGGAGGATTTTAACTTTGTGAAACCTGTGGCTATAAAATCATTCCTCTAAAATAAAATAAAGTTGATTATCTCTACTTGTAACTGGCAGGTTTCTTGCTTTTGAGGAATTTAATATAATAGCAAACACTGGCTAGTAAAAATTAATCATGTAAAAGACTTTAAAATCCAGGTCTTCACTCTGTACATGTCTGAAACTGCTGCATGATACACAATGCAAATCAGTGAATACAAGTTTTAATGAGAGCTCATTCCTAACGATAAAGCCATAGCACACACAGTCAAAGACTTAACTTTTATACAGGCACATGCCTACATCCACGCTCCTGGATGAATATATGAAGCTTCCTTACATAGAAGTGGACCATTAGTTTATCTATGGCAGTATTATTTACTCTGACTGGCAGTATTTCTCCTAGGCCTCAGGGCTCACTTTCTGCTTATTGCCATCTCCTCTCTATCCATGGCATCCCCCATTTTTTAAAAAAGGAAGATTTAGCAGAGGTTGCAAGAGGGTGTACCTCACTCTCTCTAATTCTAGTCCCTCTCATGTCTCTGTAGTGAGGGTTTCTTGGACATTCCCATATCATGTCCTGTTTTCCCAGAGGCCTGGTGGTAAAGCCCTGAGATGGACAGACACATTCCCTTCATTCCCCTCCCAACTATAGCCTTGGCCAAAATCCAAAGAATTTGGGTCAAATATTACTGTCCTTCCCCCCCAGTAGTCTAGATAACTTTGGTTCACAGACATTATCAAGCTCCAGGTGCATATAATGATTTTGACCATGCACTGACCTCAGTGAGAACTGTTCCTCTGCATATTCATTCTGATTGAAAAAGCAACCAGGATTTGGATCATTCAAAGCAAAGCTCTTGATAACCTTTTTGCTGCTAAGAGGAAGTCCACTGACAGCACGCACTAAGTCCCCACTCCTACGAACAGTCCTGGGAGCAAGACTCACATGGGTCTTTTCCGCACTTGGAGCTCATCCCTGGTTTTATCAGAGCTCAGTTCATGACGCAATACCTTGCATTTATCCCTGGTTATAACAGCATCCATTTATCCCAGGACAAGTGTGGTGCGAAACCGGGGTGACCTCAATGTAATGCGGAAACAAAAAAATACCCTGAGATAATTACAGGGGTGAACTCATGTGTAGTGTAGAATGTCAGTTCGGGGACAGGGCTGAACCAGGCCTAGTGTGGAAAGGACCTCAGTAAAATCAGGCCTTACTTCATAGTAGACCTGCTTCAGATTTGTCCCAAAGGCACCCAGGTTCATTTCTGGTGCCAAGGATTCAGCCTTAGCCATCCTCTCTCTCTGGAGTACGTAGCTGGATCTGAGATCCTTGCCAAGACTTTACATATATTCCATCATTAACAGAGGGATCCCTCATGAGAGTGGCAATGGAACTGGTGTCCCGAAGAATAGCTGCATTCCCATTTTGGCAGTTAAACTTAAGCTCTGCTGATCTTAACCAAAGAACATGTTCAACCCCATCAGTCTACCCCTACATTTCCTCTCTCCATTCATTCCATCTCTCTTCTGGTCATTGTATGAACACTATTCCTGAGATGACAACTGGTTGGCTAATCTAGTTTTCAGTGCTGTTCATGAAGACGGAGTTCCTCGGGTTAACAGGGAGCAGGAGCACATAGTCTCCAGGCTAGTTTCTCTAGGGGAAAGATCTAGCAGTACCTTGACACTGTAAGGCCTCTTAAGTACTAGATAGAGAGAGCGCAAGTTGAATTTGAATCCAGATGAGGTAGTGATGTTGGTTGAGAAACCATATGTTATTTGGGCTGTAGTAACAGGATTAGCTAAAAACAGTCCACCAGTTTAGCGATTCTTTTAGATCCTATTTTGCTAATTGAGAAGCAGTCTGATGCAGTAGCTGAGAATACTTTTTTTTTGGGGGGGGGGGCAGTCCTGCATTTGATTTGGAAATTATCTTCCCTTTTAGCCTCAATAGATCTGAGCAAGGACCTTTGACCATCGTGATACATTGTGAGGTATTGTAGGTCTTTTATAGTTTTTAAGGTTTATAAGATTATGCATAGGATAGAGCAGGTCGAGAAAGAAGTACTTTTCTCCCTTTCTCACAATACAAGAACTCGTGGGCACTCAATGAAATTGCTGAGCAGTCGGGTTAGAACAGCTAAAAGGAAGTACTTCTTCACCCAAAGAGTGATTAATACATGGAATTCACTGCCACAGGAGGTGGTGGTGGCTACAAGAATGGACGGCTTCAAGAGGGAATTAGATAAGCAGCAGAAGTCCATCAGTGTAAGCATATACAGTATAAGCATCAGTCCATAAGCATATGGAGCAGAAGTCTATCAGTGGCTATTAGCCACAAGGTATTGATAGGAACACTCAGGCTGGGGCAAGTGATGCTCTGTATTCTTTGTGCTTGGGGGGGGGGCAACAGTGGGAGGGCTTCTAGTGCCCTGGCCCCACTGCTGGACCTCCTGATGGCACCTGGTGTTTTTGGCAACCGTTTGACAGTGTTGGACTAGGTGGGCCATTGGCCTGATCCAACATTGGCTTCTCTTATGTTCTTAACCATCTTGCCAATAGTATTTACTTGGGCAAAGGAACTCCTTGCCCCCCAAACTCCAAGTGCATAGGGAATACAACTCCTAACACTGTGGTTTCCTTTGAAGGGGTGAAAATTTGGGACCAGATGTGCATTCCTGAATTCTATTCCCTCTTTTCTCAACCATATGGTATGCAAGGAGAAGAAGGTTAAAATACCTTTCCTCGTGTATTGTTCAGCATGGGTTCAGAGCCAGTTTGGTGTAGTGGTTAGGAGCGCAGACTCTAATCTGGGATATTTGGGTTTGATTCCCCATGCCTCCAAATGTAGCTGCTGATGTGACCTTGGGTCAGTCGAAGGTTCTCTCAGAGCTGTTCTCTCAGTGGGTGTTCTCGAAAGAGCTCTCTCAGCTCCACCTACCTCACAGGGTGTCTGTTGTGGGGAGGGGAAGAGAAAGGAGATTGTAAGCCGCTCTGAGACTTCTTTGGGTAGCGAAGGGTGGGGTATAAATCCAATCTCTTCATCTTCTTCAGGGCCACATGAGCAGCTCCCTGCTTGGCAGGTAGTACTATAAGGTAACACTAGAATGAAGTTTAGGGTTAAAGTGAACAGATACCTCAGCACTGCTGCATTATCAGGGTAAGGTGGAGAACCTTCTAATCATCGATCCTGTTCCCGCACATTTAGCTCGTCAAAGGCAACTCCCGTACACAGCGTACACACGCACAAGCACACACAATCACAGGCTAGTGATGTCTAATTACTTTAGTATTTGATAAATTCATTTTATGCAGGCACTTGTCTACGTCTACAAGACAGACTTTTTCTCTCTACCCCTTACCTGTGAACTGGGCACAGCATGTGTCTCCTACGGCTGGATAGAAGTCAGGGACAGCGGAGAGTTTGTCACAGTATTCACTTAGGGATGCTTGAAACTCAGCAAGTTTGCCTGGTTACAACACAGGTACTTATATGAGAATGTTATATATTTAAACCATGGAACAATTCATGTATCAGCTAAGATTTTATAATACAGAAATTTATTATTTCTGTATCAAGAACTGAGTCTTAGTTTCATAATTATTGCTTCAACAGCACCGATCTCTTTCAGAGTATAGGTAGGCAATATGAAGTGCTTAAGTTACTGGAAATTCAAATGCCTGTTACACTTGTCAGAATTCTAAGTTTTGCCTGAAAGCAATTCCAGTCCTTTGGTGCATAAAAAAGCCCTGTAATATTGACAGACCATATGGCAACCGGCTGGATGGTTAAGTGGACAAAACAGCAACACCAGAAGCAATCTCATTTTATATATTCGTTCCTTCTCTCAGACTACATACAGAACTCATATGTCCTTTCCATTTGTGGGGTCAAATTAGGCACACATGTTAACATTTCAAATAAATGAATGAACACTTACGGCCATTTTCTAGAAGCTGACAAAAAAAGTATCCTGGTGTCTGTATGTGGGCAACCATACCAAAAAACGCATCTCCTACAGACAGTGAATCAATCTGTGGGATTAGGCAACCACTGTGAACGACATCTCTACCCTCTATTGTCTTTTCCTGATTGGAGCTTTTCTCCATGGTTAGATCTAATAAAAAGATTTTAAAAAAAGAATGCATAGCAAATCCAATTACTAGCCTCTATTGGTATTTAATAGCAATTAAAGCTGAAAGACACTATTAATAAGCAAGCATTAGTCTAAAGGCCTGAAGTACTCATTCCACAACCTCATAAGAATATGTGAAGAGTAGCCATGCTGGATTAGACCAGTTATTCTGTTTTTCTGCAATCTGCCTTCTTCAGCAGTCCTTTTACTCTTTTCTTATCTATGGGCCCCACACACCACCTCCCTGATGAGTTTTCCGATTCTGATGCATTTAAAGTAATTAAAGTGATGCATTAAAACATTTGTTTTAATGTTTTTTATCTATTTGTTTTAATGTTCTTTATCTACATTATTGTCAATTTACATTTGTTTTGCCAGAAACTGTGCTCCTTCTTGTTCACTTGTTTGGGCACTTTTAAAGACAAAGTTCTCTGTATTCCTTGACTTTGCGGGTGAGTCACGTCGATATCCTCTTAGATCCAGTGGTACCTTACCTAATCTCCAGTATACTTCATTTCCAAGCATTCTGAGGTGATCTGACCCACTCTACTCTGCTCCCTAGCAGGTTCCTTTTTACCAATCCCACCATTTTTGGAAAGTTTTCTCTTCTGAAATCAAATCTGGTGAGGTGCACTTTTGGGGCACCTTCCTTTCACATAAATATTTAATTTAATAGTACTGTTATCACCCTTCATAGCTGGTGCAACAACATATGTGTCTCACATCAGGCCCTGAGCAGTGCCCAGATCAAGTCCACGATTACCTCTCCTCTAATTAGTGCTGTGTGGACTAATCCCTTCAATCATTTACAGTATCTAGAAGATAGTCTCGTCTCTTCCATGCTGAACACTTTTTCACCCAATCAATATGAGAGTAGTTGAAGTTTCCCTTCTGGTTGCCTTCCTTATTTCTTTTGTCATTTCAAGATCACCCTCGGTTTTGGTCAGGCAGACTGCTGCACATCCCAGTATTAACTTCAGAGCCTCGTATGTCTATCCATAGCACATGAAACTATTCTTTAGGGGTAGTTATTTCTCTGAAGTTTTCTAGTGTATTGAACACAATGCTCTCTCTAACACATAGGGCTACTCCACCTTCCTATACAGCTCTTTCTCTATACAATATACAGCTCTCTCCCCTATACAATGCTGTCTCTAACACGTAGGGCTACTCCACCTTCTATACAGCTTCATACTCACTGGTAGCCAGGACTTTCCATGTCCAACCATGTCCAACGCCCACTATATCTGTATTATACAAATTAACATCAAGTAACACCAGCTCTTCCGCCTTAGCTCAGAATCTTCTAGTATTTGCATATAAATATCTACTTTGTTTCCTTCTCCATACAGCATGATAAGGTCCCCTGCTGCCCTTTTACCTACTTACATGGCTATCATTTCCTGACACACACTCACAGTCAAATTCTAAGCCCATTCCATTTCTATACCCCCATCCAATGTAAGCACTGCTGCAAGACTGACAATTAGCACCAGCAGTCTCGGTCCATTTCAGTTTAAGTGGAAACCATCTTTATTGTGCAGGATTCGTTTGTCCCAACATATTCATCAGTGCTGAACCAATCTAAAGCTTTCATCCCACCACTGACTTCATCAATGTACGGGGAACCCTAATCCTACATCTGTCTAGACGACTCTGTGCTGGAATAGGCAGCATTTCTAAAAATGCTCCGTTAAGAGTTCCTGGACTTTAACCTTTGGCCTAAAAACCTACAATTCTCCTCCAGGACTGCACAACTGTGGGTGCCAACTTATATCATAACCACTGGCTCTTCCCTTTCATTATCAGTAGCATCAAGCCATTGTCACACATCTTTAAGTCTCACCTCCAGAAGGCAAGTCAATGTTCAGTCAAAATGCCCACTGCAATACTCATAAGGATAGACTCTCATTTTCTAACATGCTAGTGCCAAAGTCATCTCCATGCTTAGGAATGAGTTTCTACTTTGAATTCCTTTTTTACTATGATCATGTGCACCAACCCTATTACACCTGAGTTAGAACACAGTGCTCAATGTAATTCACAAGCATGGTTTAGACAATAGCTGACAAGCATTTTCCATCTTAGGCAGATCAGGCTACTGAAGCCCTATCTCTTCCCCCAGGACCTAGCTATGGTGGCCCATGCAATGGTCACTTCCAGGCTTGATTACTGCAACTCGCTCTACACAGGCTTACCCCTGAAGCATGAAGAAATTACAACTGGTGCAAAATGTGGCGGCGCCTGTGCGGGTGCATGTTCGGCAAGTGCTTTGTCAGTTGCACTGGTTACCAGTTGAGTACAGGATCTGCTTCAAGGTGTTGGTAATAACTTTCAAAGCCTTATACGGCCTGGGACCAACATACCTAAGGGACCACCGCTTCCTGTACACATCCTGAATAACGTATGCTAACTATGGAGGCTTCAAAGCAGCAATGAATCTGAGAACTTCTTGCCACCAAAGCTCTTCTCCTTTCTACACTCTTTAGGAGGAAATCAGATTGCCCATCTGTAGTCTTCTTCTAATACCTGTGTTGAATTAGTGCGCTAGTTCACTGATCCTTACACACAGACGTAGTCTGAATGCATGGCTGTGTGCAAGAGTTCTATGCAGCCATTTGGTTGGAGGGGGAAATTCAGTGGGCATCCACATGTAGCCTCCCCGAGGTTGCTGTCACCCACTCACTGATAACCGGCCATATCCAGTGACATCAATGGGCCGGAATCTCCCAACTGCAAGCTTCCACTACTGTTTTTATATGCTTATAATCTGTTTTAAATTTTATTATATTTATTAACATGATGTAAACCCGCCCTGAGCCCATTTACAGGCTGGGCGGGATATAAATGCAGAAATGCAGAAAATAAATAACTAAATAAGCAGAGCCCAGAACCATCGATCCCCTTTGAAAGAATTAAACTATGCCACTAGTGCCCTGAATGGCCTAGAGAAAAGATGGAGAAAAGGAGCATGCAGAGGTTAAGGTAAAAAAGAGTGGATTATGGTCTCACAAGTATAGGTAAGCCTTACTAGATTCTCATATTGAGCCAACACTAGAGACTTATAACTTGCCATAGTCTATAAAGACCAGTTAATTCTTCCAAAGTACTCACTGGCCACATCTCTGACAAGAAAGAAAAGACAGCTCCACAAACCTTAAGTACGCCAGCCTGCAACCAGGATTCTGGCAACTTAGCTCTCCTGATTTTAGTAAATTAGCTCTTAGCGCTATAACTTGTTCTAGTGTTTGCATGAATACCCCTGCAGGTCCAATAATCAAGGCTGCATCAATAATTTAATCTATTTCAACAGGTAAGGGCATGTTTCTTAGGGGTAACTGTCTGCCTACATACAAGCCACAATAAAACCAAAAAGGAACAGCATAACAACAACTTAAATACCCACCAGCAGCTGAATTTGTTTTGTTATTCATTTCCTTTGAACTTTGTCCTATTTCTAGCAGTATTTCATGCAAGTGTTTACCTAAAAGATATATTTATTAATATTCATACAAAGACAACTACAAAGTAATGCATTTAAAATGACAGTTTTTATTTTCTCCAGATCCATGCTACTTGCAATGTGCAGCTTTTACAGAACATGTTTAAAGACTTACAGTGAATAATCTAATCCTTAGCATCAGACATAGGATTCCAGGACTTGTAATCAATTATGAAACACACATGGAATGACATCTCTATACAAAACCACTACTGGAGTCAAAAAAGATGGGTACTATGTGTCAAACTAGATTTTTAAACAAGGACAACATGATTTGTTTAGCATGAGTAATGGCAGCCAGCATTCAACCAACTTTAATTTTTAATGCACTAGTCCTCAACCTGTAAGCAGCCTTACCCCCTCTGTGGAGGGGAGAAAAGAGACTCTCTGCAGCAGACAGACTAAGAAGCATTTTTCTTCCAGCAGCAGAAGTTCGGTGTTGTGGCCACTATAACTGCTATGCTAACTATGGAGGCTTCAAAGCAGCAAGGAATCTGAGAACTTCTTGCCCCCAAAGCTCTTCTCCTTTCTACGCTCTTTAGGAGGAAATCAAAAGATATATTAAGTCAGAGGTCCCCAACCTTTTCAAGCCTTTGGAATTCTGACACAGCAAGCACAAAATGGCTGCCACCAAATGCTGCAAGAGGCAGACCCAGCCACAAAGTGGCTGCTGCAGCTTATATTCAGTCACATTATGAAGATCCCTGTGCTGTGGTGGCAGCTGCTGTCAAAGCATAGTTTTTAGAAATCCACAGTCTATCAAATCTTCAATGACCAATAAGAAGTCTTGCTGGGCAAAAGCCACACTCACTTTCTTAAAATGCTTGGTGGGCACCAGGAAAGGTATTGGCAGGCACAATGGTGCCCATGGGAACCCTGCATTAAATAATAAAATAGCTATCAATTTGATGAAAAGCCGAGAAGGAACTGGTGAACATCTTTAACCAGAAATGATTTGGCACCTAATGCATGCAAATCTATCACAAAGCTAAGGCCTCTGTCCAACAAGATATCCATCCCTAAGTTTCATATCTCACTAATAGCAAGTTTGTGATATTTACAGTAGTCATTTTACTAGGTTTGACCCTCATGTTAATTGAACAGAAAACTTCTCCAACAAAAAACCACTAGAAAATGATAGACTGATCAAACTTACCAGAATCAGGTAGGACAACATCTACAGCAAAGGATGTCATCTCACCCATTAGAACATCAACAATGGTCAAAGAGCAACACTTTCCCATAAGAAGTGGAGCAACAGTGCTGCTGCAATTTGAATCCCATTCTTTCATAGCTGTGATGACATTAGCAACACAGCACTTAATAGCCTAAAAACCAATTAAAGTATGCTTCTTAGTAACTCAGTATTAGTAGCTATTAAGGGCACTTAAAATGTTAATATTAAAAGCAAAAGGCTTTCAAATAGGCAAAATCTAAGTTAACAATGCAATCCTTACTCCCATCTAAGCCCACTGGAATATTCAATGCACTGGGACTGGAGTTAACTCTGAATACTGATGTATTGGTAGGACCATCAGAACTATGATTGCTATATGACAGCAACTAAACAATTCTGTTTACTCAAACTTGCACTTTTTAGAAACACAAGATATAAAAGGAAGTATTTCACCTTGAAGAGAAGGTATAATTCCATGAGGCACATTTTTTTAAGTTTGTGATTGTCACTGCTGCCTCTAGGTACAGTAGACACTATCCAATTGGTTTTAGTGGTTAGAGTGGTGGATTATGACTTGAAACAAGTCAAACACCCACTCTGCCCATGGAAGTCTGCTGGGTAATCTTGGGCCAGTCACCTACTCTCAGCCTAACCTATCTCACAGAACTGTTGTGAGGATACAGTGAAGGAGGGGAGAATGATGAAAGCCTATTTGGGTCTGCCCCAATTGGAAAGAAAAGTGGGATATAAATGAAGTAAATAAATGAAAGGGCATATTTGTACCTTCCTGTTTTTTCACAGGAAGTTTTTACTAGTTCTTTAGATATTAAAATGTATACTTACACAGGGTGGAAAGACACCAATATCTTTATGCAAGCGTTTGATTCTATCAAGTGATGTATTTTCTCCATTTCCATAGTCTATGTATAGCACCTGAGCTCTCTTCTTAATGATATCCACATCCTGTATTAGCACTCTGTACCAGGTCTGGATGTGAACAAATTAGCTTAGTCGAATTTTTGTAAACATAAATAGTAACTTTTAAAAAACTGAAAATATCTGTTTTTGATTTAGCAATTAGAAAATATAATGGCATGTTTTATGTCAGAATCTTCAATGACAACTTAAATTAGTAATAACATTCAGGACTCAAGGCAAACCTCTATAATGAAAACTTCTAGTTCAGCCACTATATTCAAATATTGGCTCTATTCAGATATACCAAAAGTTGGCTGCTAGTTGAAAGTCCTTGGGTTGACATTATTTGCTTCCCTTGTCAACCTGCACATGACTGAAGATTTCCAGATTCCTAAAGAGTTTGCTGTGACAATCAACACACCAGATGAAGCAAACTGTGATTTATTAGAAACCAGGAATCTCTGGTCTCCAAGCTACACAAGAAAGAAAGAGGAGCAGGGAGCACAGACTACTCCAGTTTGAAGGTGCCCAAGGCTTGCTCCCATAACAGTTGCCACTGTGTCTGAATAGAACCTCCTGCTTTGAGCCGTTCTCTCCTGAATCTGAAGTACTCTACTATGCCCTCACTAACATTGCAACTTATTACAGCCTGAAAGTTTCATCACTGGGTAACTGAGATTGCATGACATTGGCACTGGACTGCCTATTCATCTTACTGCTGCTGAGTTATAAGTAGACTCTGCGTCCACTGAACAATAGTTGCAGACCAAGATGTTTCATATGCACCTTTCTTGCAACCCACTCATTGTTTAATCTTACTGATCAGCAACATTAGATTTTTATTATGCGTTATTTCTTTACCACCCCTCCACTCCCATCACTCACAGTAGCCCCATATTAAAAAAACCTTTCTGTGCACTGATTGAACACACTGATACCCACATGGAGAAAGTGCCCATGCCTATGCTCCCTCCACATTATCACTAATGTTCAGAAAGTAGCATTCATGATTATGGGGTGGGAGCAGATGCACGAACACTTCTTCCACGTGTTTGCACTGTGAAGACAACCCAACAATTGCATGGAGGTAGCATGCTCATGCCCTCTGTAAACAGGATCCTATTATGTAACTCCTGCACTACTTAATGTGTCGTGTTAATACTTATACTATACTTCAGTTCTTTCTGTTTGGTTCCAGACTTCCACATTCCTGATGCACTGGTTTTTAAATGTCCCATTTTGTTGATTGTACTGACTCACTATGTGTAATCTGCCTTGAGTCCCTGTGGGGAAGATGAACTATAAATAACAGAAATAAAAATAAATTTAAAAAATAAAGGGTAATTGCAAGCCACTCTTGCATTTTGTGTCTCCATCCTTTCCAATTTGTCTTCAGTGATGCTTGTAAGAATTTTCATTTGAGAGTTACTCAACAATCTTACAGCATCAAACTGCACTTTTATTTGTAGCAAAGTTTTACTGGGGGCATAAAAATCTTACAGACACAACTCAGTTATTAGATTTTAGCCAACACAGCTTGAAACAAGTGCACAATTAATCTTTCTGTCTACTAAAGTCAATGTTTTCTGTAAGACAAACGTTGCTGCTAACACATTCTTGACAGTCTACCAAGAAAATCAACTAACCATTGGAATTTTCTGAACACACAAACAGAAATTCAGTCACCTGATCCAAGGAATATTTTGCAGCACAAACTTCTCCTTTGGAAGGAATATAGTCCTCTTGAATGACTCCATCGTAGTCTTTCAGCTTCACACTAAGTTTGCTGATATTATTTACAATCTCTTGCGAGTTCACTTGTACATAGAAATCATTAGGATTATTGAACACAGTTATTGCACCCTAGAAAGGAAGTCATACTGGAACAGGTTTGTCTCCAATAACACGTGATCTGTACTGCTTAGTTCAGGGGTCCCCAACATAGTGCCCACCGACACCTCTCCTGGTGCCAGCCAAATGTATTTAGAAAGTAGGCAGGGCCAGGTGGGGCTTTCGCCCCAGTAGGGCTCCTGATTGGCCCCTGGAGATTTGATTGGCTGTGCAGGTTTTTAAAAACTTTGCTTTGGAAGCAGCTGCCATCACAGCACAAAGATCTTCACTGTGGCAGCCATTTTGTGACTATGCCCACCATCCTGTGTCAGAATTCCAAAGATGCCCTCAAGCTAGAAAAGGTTGGGGACTACTGGCTTAGTGTATAATGCAATGAATATTATAAAATTTTAAAATTTATAGAATCAGATGCACATTATTTATGGCAGCAATGAACTAATATTGCTAGGCATGCAATAATTACAACACAGAGCTCCTTTATGTATGTATAACCATGGTCTCCGTTCAGATTAGGCAGGGAAGGAAATAAACACATCACTATGAAGCAACTTTCTTAAATCAGAAAAATGCGGTAACCAAAGAAATAAGCAAATCCAACAGCATTGTTTAGCAACACAGTTAATTGAAAAATTCAAGAATTAACACATTGAAAGCAGAACTTACCTGCACTTTCATGCTTCTCTTGAGTCCTAATGTATCCAACTCAGGGAACATTATTTTCTTGTCTGCATCTTCGGCTGCACTGTTATCCACTGATACTAAATTGGCCTGTTAGAAGGAAGAGCTAGTTTACCAATACACATTTATAAATTGCTTGAGTGGCTCAACATGTGGTGAATTTGTTAAAAGGCTACACAAGGTACAACAGTATGTATACTTAATCAGAAGATTCACTGCATTAACTGGAACATACTCCCAGGGAAGTGTGAGTAGAATGCATCCTTTATCTACTCCTTGATTTAAAGATTTACACATACCTTTATCATGTTCTTTTAGGACTGATTCAGACAACCTGGGGAAACAGAGCTGCTGCTTTAACTTAATGTTGGAGTAAGGCGACACAGCATGCCTGGGTATTGGGGGGTGCTACATTGCTTTAGATATGTATATGCATTATCTTCTTAATAAATAAGATGCCTCTCTTTGTTTGGTGTAGTAGTTAAGTACGCGGAGTGTTTGCTGGGAGAACTGGGTTTGATTCCCCACTCCTCCACATGCACCTGGCTCCAGTTCTGGCACAGCTGTTCTTGAAAAAGAGCAGTTTCTGTCAGAGCTCTCTTAGCCCCACCTACCTCACAGGCAGTGTTCCCTCTAAGCTGAGTTAGCGTGAGCTAGCTCACAGTTTTTTACCCTCCGGCTCACACATTTTTGTCTTAGCTCAGGAAGGAGGGCTCCAGTCCAGAGCAAACTAATTTATACAGCAGCCAAATTAAACAACTTTAATGCTGGTAGCTCACAAAGTAGAATTTTTGCTCACAGGACTTCACAGCTTAGAGGGAGCATTGCTCACATGGTGTCTGTTGTGGGGAGGGGAAGGGAAAGGAGTTTGTAAGCCGCTCTGAGACTCCATTGGGTAGTGAAGGGCGGGATATAAATAAATCCAATCTCTTCTTTGCCTTAACCTAGGAGCTTCTCTGACTCCTCCTTCTCATCCTGTACCCTTTATATTCTCTTCCTTTTTTTGTGGCTCTGCAAAGAGCAGGACACACCTACAGGTTTCTCCTGTAGAAGCTGTGCCATCTTACTTGCATACACATGATGTTAGAATAGCTGGCCATTTGTAACAGGGAACAGTATTCTTCAGATTAGGTGTCTATCTTCTTTTGACTGCAACATGGATGTTAAATGAATCTACTTCAATAAATTTAAGTTTTACCTTTATGCAATATATTTCTTTGGAGTTTATTTTCTGCACACAATACCATGCTTCTATGACTGTACAACTCTACTATATTAAGTAATACATATCCCCAACATTTACTGGCACAGGAGTTCCCAGCTCAAAAGGGACCTTTGCAGGTGCCAAGCACACAACTGGACTATTTCACAAGCCATTAGCAAGCAGGTGAACAGCAAAGTTCATCTGCTGTCAGATTTCAAGTTGCAAGTTAAGAAAACCATGATGGTGTTCACATTCACAATTTCCTTTTACTATATGGTATCAAAAAAGAGAAAATAAAACCAACAACCAGCTTGATTTGTCTGTGAAACGAGGAGAGTTTTATAGATGTTGTGACACCTGACCTATTTTTGGTCATTTCTGTATATAGAGATTATTTATTTTGTTCAGATTTTATGATGCATTTGGTTTAAAACACACATACATATAGAATCATAGAATGTTAGAGTTGGAAGGGACCTTACAGGTCATCTAGTCCAACCCCCTGCACTCTGCAGGAGCATAGCTGAAAGATAGCCCTACATACCTACAACATACCCGAAAGATGGTCATCCAGCCTCCGCTTGAAAACGTCCAGCAAAGGAGCATCCACCACCTCCCGAGGCGGACTGTTCCACTTTTTTTTTTTACAGTTAGGAAGTTTCTCGTGATATTTAGCCGGTAACGACTCCCTTGTAATTCCCACCCATTAGATCTAGTCTTGCAATCCGGAGCAAGAGAGACTAGATTTGCTCCATCTTCTACATGACAACCCTTCAAATACTTGAAGACTGCAATCATGCCCCCTCTAAGCCTTCTCTTTCCCAGGCTAAACATACCCAACTCTTTCAGCCTTTCCTCCAACCGTCTCACCATCCTCGTTGCCCTCTTTTGGACACACTCGAGCTCGTCAACATCCTTCCTAAAATGTGGTGTCCAAAACTGGACACATATATGACACAGTCAATGTTCCCTCTAAGCTGTGGAGTCTTGTGAGCAAAAATTCTTCTTTGTGAGCTACTGGCATTAAAGTTGTGAGCGAGTGATTTGGCTACTGCATATATTAGTTTGCTGTGGAGCCATCCTTCCTGAGCTAAGACAAAAATATGTGAGCTGGAGGCTAAAAAACTGTGAGCTAGCTCACACTAACTCAGCTTAGAGGGAACACTGGACACAGTGCAATTTTATCCCTGGAGAATAAATTATACCACAAATTCCGTATATGGAAGCATGACCATCACTTAAAATACCTATGAATTCCCATTTTGAATCAAACTTATATAAATACTGCAACTTGAGTCAGACCTGCTTTCTTATCCACTTAAAGTGATCTGTAACTAAAGAACAAAATGCAAAAGAGGAAGTTCTCAATGAGATATTTAAACATTTCACAAGCTAACTTCCAGACAGTGGTAGAATTCTGGCAAAAAGATCTATCCATGCAGTGTGGGAGGGCAATTTTTGTCAACTCCCCCACCCCTTCAGCAGCCCTCCAACACCCCCAAGAGCAGCATTTCAGACTGTAGTGGAAGGGGAAAGGCAAGAAAGTTGAACTTCTGTACATGGAGGTCCTTCTGTGAATGGAAATTTTAGATGGGATACAACCTAATATTTATTGATTCATAACTTCAATATTCAGTGCTATTCAAAATACTATCATGCTAAATGAAAGAAAGAAAGATCCAAATCAGGGTAGCCTAAGGGATGAGAAATACTGTAATACTGTAAATCCTTATGTGCCCTGAAGGTCTTGTTGCTCTCCTAACTTTTACGGCATAGTGGACCATCATCTGAAAAAAAATCAGGAACATGGTACTATCACCAAACAAGCAAATGACACTGAGTTACCACTTAGGACAAATACCTAAGTGGTATTTGTTAGTCATTGAAGATAACAATTTGCCTCTGTTGGATGAGCAGGCTGCTTTGTGTCACAAAATTTATGTTTGGAGAGCATTAACCGATCTTTGAAAGTACAGAGTCGGAAATTAAGAAAATAATCTGTTGTGCTAAGGTTGAAAAGATGGGGTTACAGCAGTTTCTAGAGAAAAAGTATTATAAACATGTATTGGCTGTATAGCTTTGAAGTTTCCCAGGACAACAGCAGACCAGGTAACAAAAATACCTAATACTAAGAATACTTGAACACTGAAAACAAAACTTTATATTCTTTGGTTCCTCAATCAGAATCACACACCTCCTTAAATGTTGCTATGAACGCTGCAGCAACCCTTACATGCAAACAGGCAAAGGTTCTTTGGATTTCATCTTATTACAGTTGGTAACACTTTATTTCCCAGTGTTATAGTATCAGCAGGTAAACCTCCAGTAATTCAGTGGACATACTGATGATCAGCTCATTTGATAAACAGTACTACCTTCAGTACATAATGATTTATTTAGTCATAAAATTCTAACCATACCTTTATTGTGATTTTATCCAACGATTTTTCATTATCTTCTGCTATATCTGTTCTAAAAAGCAATGGTTAGTTATTAGCAGAACCGGTCTGTAAAGGCTCATGCTTTGAACACATACTCAAAGTTGACCATCATCTGACCTCTGAACAATAAATATGTATATCCTTTAAGAAGTTACCTAAATTAATGCCAATTTTTCATCCTTTTTTGCTGATTAGTCAAAAAAAACACTCTTCCTTCCTGAAAATATCCAATTCAGAGATCCAATGAAAAGTATACATTTTAAATACAATACTGCACATGTAATTAGAACTGGAGATATCACCCTGCTATACGGAACAAAATGTACAAGTAGGAGACCTGCAAGGAAGGGGAAATCTGCTGCTGGCCTTACCACTGCCTTTCTCACCCACGCTCTCATCCTCACTTCCTTTCCCACCCACAATGTGCCTTGTTCCCTATGGTCTCCTTCTTCCTTCCCCACCTCCACCCATCTGACTCCTACCTTTTCTCCTCCTTTCTGCCACTGCTGGCCCCTGCCAACTCCACCTTCTTCTCATTTGTTCTAGCAATATTTGCTGAGATTGCTAGGCAACTCCAAAACAGCAGTGGAGACTTAACAACGCTACATTGACAAATCTCCTTTTTACCCCCACAATAATCACTGTGCTTTTTATTTTCAGATTTTTCATACCCCCACAGGCACATACGACTTCATAAGTACAGATTTTTTGAGCTGTTCTCTGGGGTCATGTTCATAATTAGAGGGGACCTGCAAGCACTTATGGGGGAGAAGATCATATTTTCCCCTCCCCCACTATTTCCTGTTTCCCCTCCCTGAAAGCCCCCATAGCCTCTCTTCCTGCTTCCTTCTCTCCTTCCCACCCAGCAGTCAACCTACTATTATCTGCTTCTCTGTCTTCAGCTCCCAGCCGCCTCTACCTAGAAAAACTATGGCCAGTTGTGTGGCGCCAACTGCTGGGCCAGCCCCACTTGTATGGTAGGGAACCCACAAGGACTTGTAGGGGGACACATCACTTTCCCCTGTATCCTCCTCTCCACATTATTTTCCCTTTCCCCCCTTCTGGCAACCCTATATCCTCTCCCCTTTCCCTGACTCATTCTCTCCTTCTCAGCCATTCACCAATCTATCTTTTATCTGCATTCCATCTTCATCTGTATTCATTATTTATTTACTTCATTTATACACCAACTTTCTCCACAGCAGGGGCCAAGAAGAAGACTGGTGATTTAAACTTGGGTATCCAGACCCAGACCCTACTGTGAAGCTCTAACTGCTACATCACACTTGCTTTCATAGACCTGTGGCATGTTCCCAAGTGGTCAAAGGCTTATTGGGTTCCAGCCTACAGCCCGCTGCCATAATTTTGTTAATCACTTTGTAGATAAAATCTCTTGCATCCATTCTGACGTGGACTCTAAATTACCAGAGACAGTATTGGATTGTCCCAACCTGCTAATTTGTCCAGTGTTCTGGGTTACCTTTCAGCTAGTCCAGTCTGTGGATGTGGACAGGATGCTTGAAGTTTGAGACCTACCACCTGCTTATATGATCCTTGCCCTCCTGGCTACTTAAATCTGTTGAAAGGGCTAGTGAACTGGGTCCAGCAGACCGTAAATGCCTCCCTGCGAGGATGGTCATCTCTGCCTTGAAGTAAGTAGTTGTGTATCTACTCCTAAAGAAACCTACTTTGGACCCAAGAGAATTGAGATTGTAGTTTGAGGGTAATGACGGATCCAGGCCTCCTCTTAGATAAACAGATGGCCGCAGTGACTTTCACCAACTTTGGTTATGGCCCTTCTTGGGTGGGGAAGATCTTGCCACTGTGGCACATGCCAGGTAACATCTGGATTAGATTGTTGCAATTCCCTCTACATTGGGCTGCCATTGAAGACTGTCCAAAAGCTACAGCTGGTACAGAATGCTATGGCCAGACTGCAGATTGAAATGGGTCATAGGGACCATGTCACTCCAGTCTTATTCCTTCTATACTGGCTCCCAATCTGCTTTGAAGCCCAATTCAAGGTGCTGGTATTGACCTTTAAAACCCTATATGACTTGTTGCCAGCATACCTGAAGGCCAGCCTTCTCCCGTACAAACCCACCCATCTACTCTGGCCTTCTCTGAAGCTCCTGCTTTAGGTTCCCTTGCCATTGGGTAGCAACCCAAGAAAGGGCCTTGTTGTTCATGGTACCAAAACTTTAGAACTCCCTCACCAGGGAGAATCATCTGTCTCCCCCTCTACTGTTATTTTCTGTTAGGCGGTAAAGACTTTTTTGTTTCATTCAGAATATTCCCAATTATTAACCCTCTTCTCTGGTTGTGGTTTGGGTAGAAAGGCAGCACAGAAATGTTTTAAATAAATAAAAACAAAGAAGATGATAAACACAAGCCCCCCCCCCCCTTCAAACCAATCCACCACACCGGGTTGCTATGAGATAGTCTTGTGGTCAAAGGCAACTGATCACAACTAACTTCTGGCCACATGTATGCATGCTCATTCACATCAAGTTATAGATGTGCATTTAAGTGTATATCCTAACAAAAATGGAAGGCTCTTTATATGGATTACACAGATTCCTTATGTTGCAACACAGCAATCGTTTGGTGTTCTATAAATTCGACTGAGGCCTAGGGCCTGCCATACCAAAAGGGAGTTCCATTATATATTCCAATACATCAATTAACCATCAGCTAAGACAAAGAAACTAAATTCAAAGAACTTTTCTGGATGTGGATACAAAAAAATTTAACTGTCTTAATCTATCAACCTACTTGTGTTTAACTGGTTTACATGCAACACTATGTTCTTGCCAGTCTTTCCTCTGACAGTCCACAGAACAATAATATACATGCTTACATTGTGTACATCTCAAGGACCCTGGAAACATAAAAAATGATAGATTCAGTATTACTCAGCATTCTACTTTATTTTCTGACCAAGAAACATCTAAAGCCACTTTGTTGTGTTAAAATTAAACAGATAATTCCTCTCACAGCCTCAAATATGTCTTATGTGGTATTATTGAGCTTCCAGTTTTTAATATCTGTTTCATTCCTAGAGAATTTCAGAACATAAAAACACTTGTTCATTCCAAGCATTTGTTCAAAATATAGGCAGCAACCTTGCATTGAGGCCTCTTTATAAAGACATGCTTGTACATGATAAAATGCTTTATCTGAAATCAAATGGAAGTAGTCTAAACATTCCTATGACTCAGATTGAAAGCACTCCAGCAGCCCTAGTGTAACAATAAGATACACCGATATTTCCTTTCCCTCATGCTGTGATGAAATGGAAGTCAAGAGATAGCAACTTGCCTGAGGCCTTCCATTCTTAATGCAAGTAAGATGAGACAGGAGCTTCCTTACACTGTAGTAATTTCCTTCAGAGTTAAGTAAGGCAAGAAATAATACAGTTCAGCAATAGAGTGACAGCTCTCCATGCAAATGATTTCAAGTGTAATCCCTGGCAGGTGCTCTGCTTAAGATCCTGAAGAGTTGTTGCTCATCACAGCAGATAATACCGACCTTAATAGGCCAATAGTACAAGGCATGTTTATGTGTTCATGTGATCTAATCTCCTTCAGCTACAATTTAATGTATATGTTGTGCTATCACAGAAGGGGTAATAGAAACTTACCAGACAATCCACAGAAATGACATGTGGGCGGAAGGAAATGATTTAGTGAATTAAACAACTGTGGATCACAGCCCACAGATAAAGAATGCTCAGGAGAACTCTGGAACTTTTTCTGCTTCACATGGACAAAGGCTGTATCTGACACCTATAACACATATTTTGACAAGTTTAAACATTCATGTATCTTTAAATACATACTGTACACTTGACAATACAGAAAAAACCAGCTTGGAACATTATCAATTCCATCAAATTCTAATGAAAGCTGTGACTGATTTTGGCTTCATAACTCCAACATACAGGAATATATGCAGCAGAAAATCCAAACACTCTCAAAGTTTCTCTTCATCATTCAACAACCCAAGTATCTTAAAAACTGAACAATGTCCATTTGCAGTTGCAGTGAAAACAGTGAGCACACACAACTTTCAATGTGCAATTGAATCAGTGTTTCCTTGAAATGCAGCCAGTCAGTACTGTCTAAAATATCAAGTCCTGAAAAAATAATAATGCATAAGTTCAGTGAATAGAACTGATCCAAAGCCACAGGCATGTTTTTACAGAATGGTAGGCAATGCTGCACTGTGCATTCCAAGGAAAGAGAATAGGGAAGTTCCTGTATATATGGAGCTGCTTCTAAACACAGTCTACCGGTAACAGGAAAGATGAATAAAAGATACTTCATTTTTTTCTCCTCTTTGTCCTCTTCATTCCTGAAAGGTGTTCATGTTGGTTTTTCCACATTTCTTGTTCAAATCATATGCACAGGTTACTTGAAGTGTACCTGCTTGCCATGTTAAATCTGCTATACCTTATGATTACACTGGCCAATGCAGCAAGCTTCCAGTGTATGGTCCAACACAGTAGGATAAAATCCTTCCTCTCATAGCTATATGCTGGTCTACATAATTTTAATCAGGGGACCAGGGGAGGAAGAAAGACTGTTGCTTGTAGAAGGAGTGAAATGGATTAAACCTGAGACTAATCTACTGAGATCTAGTCTTCAAGGAGTTCCAGCCACGAAAATGGCTACATCTCAAACAGATCTTCCCAATAACGGTCCCCCAACACTCACTTTAAGGAGCAAGCTTACTGAAGGCAATGTTCGTTCAAAAATTTGTGAACACTGCAGGGGTAATCACTACTTCATTTAAGTACTCATTTCCTAGCAACCAGTCTAGGGACATTACTACGTATGGTACTGTGCACACTGTAACAGCTCTTCTTGACACACATAGTGGGAGAAACAATTGGTGCAGAAACACTCAACAATTAAGGCCAAGATGAACAGTGGTGACCAGACTGGATTAATTTTATTTTTTTCCACATTGGGGGCCAAATCTTTTAACTGTGGGCTCAATTAAGTTGATATAACGACTCAGTTCAGCTACCTTCATTGGCATTAACATAGGAAAAAAAGATATACAAATAGATAAAACATAGGAACATATATCACTTGGAAAAAAACGTTCTAGTGATATGATGACTAACAAGTTCATTAAAAAGAAACAAATACTAATCTGAAAAATGAACACATTTAGAGAATGGATATCAATAAGGCATAAAATATGGAGACAAAGAATCATTCTGATAGACTGAATGATTCTGATGACAGCTGAGAAGAAGATGGAATTTTGCACACAATGGAAGCCAAGGTTCCAGAGCAGGCCAGGACATTCAGTTTTTCAGTGGGTTCTGGGCCACTCCAAAAATAAAGGTATTCTGTACAGAAATGAGAAAATGGCTTTGCCTTCCTCCCCTTGCCATAGAAACTCTGGGGCACAGGGTTTGGGGAGGTCTGCGGACAGAACTGCTGCCCTGCCTCCTGATGACTCTCTCATGCAGAGAGGAGGACAGTGTTTCTATCCACCCTTCACTGAAATGGAGGGATGTCAGGCAAAACAACAGAGGCTCAGTCATACTAAGCAACTTTGAACAAACCAACATGAATTGCAAAAAGCCATTTTAGCTCCTGCTGTCCCACTCCACCGATACTTTGTGGAACAGACCCGGGCAGGTCCACCCATTTCTAGATAGACTATACAATAACATCTCCCAGAATTAGGGGACAGAGTTATCTGATAATTTGTCAACACACAGTGCCCTTTAGCCTCCTTGCAATATTAAACATTGGTCAATAATATATATTACAAGTAAGGGGACCCGTGATACTCGTGGGCGGGGGGAGAAGAGCTCCACGCAGAGCAGGAGGAGGAGTCAGCAGCAGCAGGTAAGCCTCGCCGATCTCCTCTTCCCCCCCCTCGGTCTCCTCCACCCCACCCGGCTCGGATGGCGAGGCCCGAGCGGCTGTTGCAGGAGGCGCCTTTCGCTATTAGTATATAGACAAGGAGGACCCGCGATACTCGCGGGAGAGGGGGAGCTTCACACGTATGAGGAAGAGGAGGAAGCAGCAGGAGGAGGTAAGTTCCCCCCTATCCCGCTGGTTCCTCGTCTCCTCCACACACACCCTCCACCCCCTGGCTCAATCTCCCCCCCTGCCCCAGAGCGCGCCCCCCCTCCAGAGGCCAGGTCTACCCACCCCTTCCCACTACGTTGGTAGACCTGGCCTCTGGAGAACAGCTCTACCCACCCCTTCCCACTGCATTGGTAGACCTGGCCTCCGGAGACCAGGTCTACCCACCCCTTCCTGCTATATTGGTAGACCTGGGCTCCGGAGGCCACCCCTTCCCACTACAGTGGTAGACCTGGCCTCTGGAGTCCAGGTCTACCCACCCCTTCCCAGAGAGGAGACCAGCAAAACTCACGGGGGGAGGGGCGGGGGAGCTCTACAATCAGCAGGCGGAGGAGGAAGCAGGAACAGGTGAGCTTCCCCCCCATCCTGCCGGTTTCGCTGTCTCCTTCCCCCCCGCACGCGCAATCTCCCCCCCAGCCTCCCCCCCGGCTTCCCCTCCCATGGCTGCAAAAGGAGGCCCACGCGGCTTGGAGCCGGCGGGCCTCGGCGCTCCCCCCGCCTGGAACTCAGCGCTTCCTCCCCGCCGCCACCGCCTGGAAAGTGAGGCCCGCACAGCTTGTAGCCGGCGGGCCTTGTCGCTTCCCCCCGCGGCTGCCTGGAAAGCGAGTCCCACACGGCTTCTAGCCGGCGGGCCTCGTCGCTTCCCCCCGCCACCTGGAAAGCGAGGCCCGCACGGCTTCTAGCCGGCGGGCTTCGTCGCTTCCCCCCGGCCCCCGGCTTGAGAGCGAGGCCCGCGCGGCTTCTGCCCATTGGGCCTCAGCGCTCCCCCCGGCCCCCGGCTTGAGAGCGAGGCCCGCGCGGCTTCTGACTGCCGGGCCTCGGCGCTTCCCCCACTCCCCCGCAAAGCGGCTGTGAGGTGGCAGCGGCATTCCAGAGCGTCTCCTGCGCATGCGCAGGGGACGCTCTGCCAGTTTCGGGGAGATTTAAACATCCCCCCGATTTTTTTCCAACTTTTTTATTTTTGTGCACACGTGGGGACTGGCCCATGTGTGCACAAACCTCCCCCAGCCCCCCAGCTGCCCCCGGAGCGCTGATTTAGCGATTCGCACTCCGGGGGCAACTTCGCTATTAGATATATAGATTAATGATATATTGAAATTTTTAAAGGCTTGATTTCAAGAAAAAACCATAGGGAAAATACCAGTTTTTCTTTACAACAGGTACAATCTAGATGAAATAATGCACTTTAAATCTCACTGAATTCAGATTAGGTTAGCAGTGTGCTTCTGTTTCTAGCCCTTAAATCAATGGGATTCAGAGTGCTTCTCTGGATTCTGCCCAGTACATATTAGACGGGGTTTTCAATTTAGTTGTAAGAGATAACTGCAGCTTGATTTTTACAGAGGGCATGGAGATTTCATATAATGAATAAAGAGCTAAAAAACCTGAAAAGTTACCATGATAAACTTGTAAAATCTATTTTAAATGATTTTATGAAATACAGCCTGCTGTGAACAGAAACTAGAAAACAATAAACACTGTTTTTATGATAGAAGGGAAGGGGGAGAATCTTTTAACTCACAGCATTTGTTTCCTTTACTGAGGTTGGTAACAAGTTACTTGCTACTTTCAAATGTTCCAGTTTTTCTAAAATACAAAATTGAAATATTTAGAAAAGATCTAACTAACCACAATATTGTAACATATTCCTAATCATGAACACTATTATCTTTGGTTCTGAATAATAAACTAGAGCTGAAATCATATGTGCACATAATTGTGAGTACACTAAGAACATTAACAGTTTAAACTGATAGTTCATAAAACACATTTTGTTTCTAGTCTTGTGAACATTTTGTTTCTAGTCACATTCCTCTTAATACATGTGTGAGAGAGATTAGGTCACACAGGACAAGGGATGGGCATAAACTACAAACTATACATACTGGAAAGTTGGTTCACAAACTGAAACACTTTTGTATGGGTTCATTACATCTGCTTTCTGCTGCCTACGGCGGAATCTGCATTTGTCTTTCCCACCAGTGTCCCAGCCTTTTGACTCCGTCTTCAAAAAAGCTGTCTACATTTGGTGTCGTTTTCACACCTCAATAGTGCTAGCATACTTTTGCACGTCCACATATGTTTATCGTCCTTTTGGGGCAGCTCCACTGCCACTGCACCTCCACACTGCTTTAAAAGAATCTTCTCCAAACAACATTCAAACAAGCATAGAGAAAGACGGCATCACAACAGCACGAAAATGATTTAAAAATGCAAATGCAGATTTGGCCTTTAGCTTTATCTGGGGAGCAGAAAGCAGGGGCTTAAATAGCTCTGAGCCATTTAAACCAAACAACTCAGTTTGCTCTGTGCCTCTCAGCTGTTGAAAGGAGATTTGTTGGGCAGCTGAGCCATGTGTAGCAGTTTAAACTTTAAAGGAACTGCACAAGAAAGCCTGAAACAGCTAAGCGGCAGGGAATGCTCCCAACCACTCAGCTGCTTTTGCAGCTTTTTCCTAGGACCAGGAACTGGCACGAACCCCACAAACTGCCTTAAAAGGTCATGGAAATCTGTGATGGATTTCGGTTCCTGAACCACAAACAGAGCAAAATTCATCACGGGTTTTGCTTCATGGTTCACTTTGTGCCCATCCCTACACAGGACAGTAACATAATTCAGAATATTTCAATTTTTCCACAGATGGACTAATTTTATCAAAAAAAACCCTTTTACTTTCTGGACTGCTGCACTTCATGAGAGGTGTCTGGCTTGGCTGGCAGTGGGTGGCAAGTGGTTGAGAATTTGCTTGAGCTTTTTCAGATAATACAGTATCTGTAAACACAAAAACAAGCCTATCATTTTTAATTAAAATAAAGTTCATTTCTAAAATATATCTATTTGCACACCACTATATATAATGATATGGAGCTGTGGTGGCTCAAGTGGTTAAGACGCTGAACTGCAGGCTGTGGAAGGTAAGTAGTTCAGCAGTTCGAGACCCGGGTGCCGCATGATGGAGTGAGCTCCCGTCTCTAGTTCCAGCTCCTGCCAACCTAGCAGTTCGAAAGCAAGAAATTGCAAGTAGATAAATAGGTACCACTTTGGTGGGAAGGTAACAGCGTTCCGTGCACCTTGGTGTTTAGTCATGCCGGCCACATGACCACGGAAACATCTTCGGACAGCACTGGCTCTTCGGCTTTGAAACAGAGATGAGCACCGCAACCCTAGAGTCGAATTCGACTGGCTTTCGAGCAAGGGAACCTTTACCTTTATATATAATGATGCACTTTCCAAAACTATGCTTTCCCATTATTTCAAGATTCTTTTTAAAATCTATATGAAGCTGCCAGGAAACATAATCTGGAGATCTGCTCTGAGCTGCCACCAATGACACTCAGCTCTGTGTTGTGCTTCCAGCAGATCCGAGGGAGGCTGGCAAAATTGTGAGCAGATGAGTACGGGCACTTTTGAAAAGGATGAGAGCTAACACACTGAAACGCAATCCTGACAGAGGTGCTATTGATGAGGGGAAGGTCTGACCAGAGAACTAGGATGTCTGCTGTTCTGGATAATATTGCACTCCACCAAAAGGAGCAGGTTCATAGTTCGGGAGTCCAGGTCTCCTATTTGATAAACAGGTGGCAGCAGTGGCCAAAAATGCCTTTCACCAACTTTAGCTGATGATGATGCCCTTCCTGGGCAGAAAAAATATTGCCACTGTGGTATATGCCCTACTAACATCTAGACTGGATAACAGCAATATGCTTTATATGAGGTTCCTTTGAAGACTGTCTGAAAACTTTTAGACAGTAAAGAATGCTGTAGCCAGAATGCTGATTGGAGTAGATCATAAGGACCATATCACTTCAGTCTTGTTCTGTCTACACTGGCTCCCAATTTGCTTCCAGGCACCAGTACTGACTGACCTTTAAAGCACTATACAGCCTGAGCCTAGCATACATTAAGGACTGCCTATTCCTATGTGAACCTACCCTACCTCTCCAGTTACCTTCAGAGGTTCTTCCTTCAGGTGCTCAGCCATCTAAGACTAGAGTTACTGTTGTCTTCCACCCACAGGTAAAGATTTTTGTTCTTGTTGCTTTTCCCTCATCTATATATCTAATAGCGAAGGCACCCCCTACAAGCGGATATATAAATCCGCACATCGAAGGCACCTAGTGGGCAGGGAGATTTTCCTGCACACTTGGGGCAGTCCCCAGGTGTGCACAAAAATCTAAAAACAGCAAAATAAGGCACAATGATAATGGGCTTTACAACCTTTTGCCTCCATTCTGTGTTCTTGTAAAAAAAATCCCTTACTTTACATATAAATTAACAGCCTGGAACACAATTGAGGTCTCCAGGGCTGTTTTTAAACAAGGAGAGCTGAACATTATCTCACCATACCTCTGTGTGTGTGTGTGAGAGAGAGAGAGAGGGAGGGGGGGGGGGGGAGAGATGGTGGGGCCCGGCGGCTGGAAGCCACTCAGGCCACACCGCCGTTGTACAGGGATGAGGGTGCTCTGCATGGAGCTCTTCTCCCCCCCAGTGAGCATCACAGGTCCCCTTTCTTGTTATCTCTTATTAGCCATGCTCCATTTTTGTGCTTATATTTATTATTTACTTAAGTTGTACCCTGCCTTCTTCCCCAGTGGGGCCCCAAACTGCCTTACATCATACTCCTCCATTTTATCCTTACAGCACCCCTATGAGGTGGGTTAAGCTGAAAGAGTGGATTGGCCCAAGGTCACCCAGTGAGCTTCCATGGAAGAGGAATGATTCGAACCTGGGTCTCCCAGGTTTTAGTCTGACACCCTCAACACTGTGTTTACTTTAATTGTTTTTAATATTTTATACATATTTGTATTTTAAATGCTTTTTAAATGTTTTGACGTGTTTTAATGTTTCACATAAATAAAGATTGCAATTTTATCCTACATTTAATCTAAAGGCAACAGATACATTACATTAATACAAAGTATTTTAAAATGAGGTGCCTTTTCCTCACCTGTCAGCTCCTGTTCATTCACGCTTGATCCAATCATTTGCTTGGTGAAGTCATCACAGTACCCAACATGGATACTTCCACTTGAACCATTCTCGCGATTTGCAAAGAATTCTTTAGTCTGCTCATAAAATAAGAAGTTCTTGGATGGTGCTGATGTTTTATCTTCAGGTACAGAGCTTCTGACTGTGGGAATTGTGTACGGGCTTCTCAATGATTCGTTTGGGATTTTGAACTCAGTACACTTCATATGAAATCTTCGTGCCATCTTGTAAATATTCACATCAGAACCACGTCCTGCTACTTTTAAGGCTACTGCTCATGAAGCATAAAAAGAAAAAAAGCAACTGAAAAAAGATGGTGTAAAAAAACAGTGCTGCACTTACCTGTAACTGTTGTTCATTGAGGTGTCTTCTGTGCAGGCATACACTGTGACTGTGCTTGCGCAGGCCAGCAACCAGAAGCTCTCTTACAACTACTCTGATATTTAACACTTCAAGGGGAGCCCCTGCCTTACAGAGTTAATTAGAGGCCATTTTCCCGCCTAATGATCATGTGCTTTGCTGGGAGGAGGCCCCTCTTTCCTTCAGTTCTTTTAAACTACCAAAGTTTTCAGTGGGTGTGAGAATAAGCAGATCCAGAACATAATAATGAAACCTGTGAAGCAGGCATGATGTGGCCAATGGAGGGACCTCACTATGAGCAGAGAAATGGATAAATGATGCCCCTGGGAGTGTCTTAAAGGGTCATATCTAGATATATATAAAATGTGATCCTGACGACTCATCTACTACCTGATTGGGCCAGCCTTTCAAAGTAATTGGCATATGTGAGCTGATAGGGCCTTGCGCCATTCCTCACATCATCCTCTCCCTCCACACAGCCAGTCAGAGCACAGAGGTCGTTTGCATATGTGGCCTGATTGGCCCTCACCCCCAACATTCTAAACAATTTGCTGTTGCAAGTCACTGAATGTGTCCTGAGATAAAATACATCTCCCAATCTTCCCCTAAATGTTCACTAGGGTTGTCAATCTCCCTGTGGGGCCTGGAAATATCTCAGAAATCACTGTGTTTTCCAGCCACATCATTTTGCCAACAGAAAATTTCCCAGCTATTACAACTGATCTCCAGATGACCAAAATCAGTTCTCCTGGAGATAATGGCTGCTTTGGGCAGTGGACTCTAAGGGCATTATAACCTGCTGAGGTCCCTCCTCACCTCAAACCCTGCCCTCCCCAGGCTCTACCCCTCAAATCTACAGGTCTGGCCCTCCCCTTAGTATTGCCATCCTCTAGGCAGCACCTGGAGTTCTCCAAGGTCAGTTCTCCGGGAGAAAATGGTTCCTTTGAGCAATGGGCTCTATGGCATTATACCAAGCTGATGTCTCTCCCCAGCCCAAACCCTGCCCTCCCCAGACTGTACCCCTCAAATCTACAGGTATTTCCCAACCCAGAGTTGGCAACCCTGTAACTGACTACGGAACCACTTTCCAGACCCTTAGAATCCAGGAAACATGGCATAGGAAAAGGTGCTTTTCTACCTTAGCTGCCACTGCATAGCCCCAAATCAACAAAAGCCAACCTCCAGGTGGTACCTGGTGATCTCCAGCTATTACAACTGATCTCCAGATAATCAAGATCAGTTCTCCTGGAGAAAATGACTACTTTGGCCAGTAGACTCTATCGCATTATACCCTGCTGAGGTCCCTCCCCAGGCTCTACCCCTCAAATCTACAGGTATTTCCAAACCCAGAGTTGGCAACCTTGTAACTGCCTAAGGAATTGCTTTCCAGACTCTTGGAACCCAGAAATCATGGCATAGGAAGACATGCTTTTTCTACCTCAGCTGCCACTGCACAGCCCCAAATCAACCTAAGTCAGGGGTAGAGGGAACCATACTTGTTACCATGTGGCTCTCCTCCCATACTACCCACTCGGGGCAGCAAAATGACTTGAGACAGCATTGCCTTATAGCTAACCAGAAGAAAATAAACAATAAATTATTTTCCTCTTCCCTCCACAGGCCCACCAGCCACAGCTGGGATACTCACCTGGAGCCTCCTTCTAGAGCTTATTGTATTTCTTCCCACAACGGGCCTTACTCCTAATAGACAAAAGACATAATTTTACTGAACTACTTTCATATACTTACAACAGGTAGGATACCTGGATATTAAGTTAAAATTTATAACACTAACAGTGCAATCCTGGGGGGGAGCAGAATTGGCACAGGACACAGTAACTCAAGTGTAACCATGGCATACACAGGCGAGCCAGTTATGCTGGCAGAGGACACTAGCACTGTTGTGCCACTCAGTACTGCCAGTGCAGCTGTACCATGGCTGTGTGCTGGCAGAGCTCCAGCACAAACTGTAATTTGGGCATGCTGAGGGAGAGTGGCAGTAATTAGGTGGCTTCCTAAGTGCTTCCAGCATGGAAATTCCCCCTTGAACTGGCTCAAAGTTGTGCCAGGAAAAATTCCAGGATAGCCCATTGGCAGCCATTTTAAGTCAAACTGCATCCCCCCCCCCCATGCCCATGGGAACCCAAGCAGTT